TGTGAGTCGGTAGCCCCAAGAACTTAACTGCTGATAAAATTCTGTCTGGGACTCTCTTGCGGTGTAACGCCATAAAATCAGCTTTTCTGGCTGCAGATGCTGTGTTCCTTCTGTTTCCCTGGGCTGGAGGAAGCTGGCACCATCAGCTGCCCTGTCGATGAAGGGGACGACCTAACTGTGGTCTTCCCTGTCCCAGGCTGTGCACTCAACGAAGTTCCTTTGTCTCCTGTCCCTTTGTGGGTATTTATTAAGGACACACATGAACATTGTTGAAAGTGCTAGATGTTTTCTAATTAGCTGTGGAAAAAATGCTATTATTTTGCATACTTTCGTGTAGCTGTGCTTCCATTGTTTGCAGTGCTGACTGTTTCTATTTCCTTCAGTGACCATGGAGCTCTTGGCTGCTTCTTGGCTGGCCACTTTCTTTGACTGACCCTTCTGTTTCACTGCACTGAGAGCCTTATGGCTTTTAAGCATCAATACAGGTGAAAGATGGCTCAATGGATGAGAAAAAATGAACCTTGTTGAAAATATGCCACAGCTGTTTCTCCCTGGGTCTGAATTACGTCCCTGATCAGAACTTTGAGGTTACGAAGCCTTCTTACACCAAGGGACTCCAGACTGCATTAGAAGGTTTCTGTGTCATCTTTTTCTCCCGTGTCCTGTGAGTCAGACCTTGTAGCTGTTGCTCAGGTACTCTGAAGCTGTGTAGTGATAGTAGGGAGCTAGGTTAGGGTAGAGTCTGAGAGGAAGAGACTTCTGTATTCTTGGTTTGTCTCTGATCTCTATGTGGCTTTGATCAAAACTATATTTTGCTGCAGCCATGCATTCTTAAAAGCTAAAGTTTTTTGGTGATTTTTGCACTTTTGTAATTTCATAGGGAATTAAAGTGTAATGAGTTTTTTTTTTTTAAAGCTCCTGAAAGACCTATTTCAGTCTGTTTGGCACCACTGTTAAAAAAAAAAAGTCTAAAAGCCCTTAAAAATGGTATCCCTTAGTACTAAACGATCAGAAGTTCCCATGACCTTGGTGTGATTGTAGGATGTGATTTTCGTTATGCCACAATATGCCTTGGCAGTTTACAGCGTGGTAAAGTCCAAAGGAATCTGGGACCTTCAGGGTCTGTCTGCCTGATGGATGCTGAGGTTCACTACCATGAGATTTTGCAATGAAGACTTGGTTTGTGAATCACAGAGGGCAGAGGGTCGATTCCTTTTTGTTTTGCTTTGAGGAGGAAAAGGTCTAGTTTTAACCAGATTTGGATGTAGGTTTCTGTGAGTGTGTATTGACAGTTGCCTAAGAGTTTATATAATGTTGATATAAGCAGAAATCTCATCTTTATTCTGAGTATTGAGTTAGTTTGGCTACTTGGAAGCAAATGTTTTTTCACTACTGTCCATGTTCGTTTGATTTCCTAACAGAAATAATGATATTTGCTTGTTTTTTTGCTTTCATTAATTTAATCCAACGTGACATTTTAAATATGAATGTTCCTTTAAGAAACTGAAAATGTAGGAATAACTTTATTTTAATAAATTGTTAAAAACTTTTTCCAGCTCATTAACTTGGAAAAAAATACAAAGTAGTTGCTAAGCGGGAAATATCAAATCAACCTGTAAATCCAAATGGAAAAGAAGTTTAATCTCCAGAATAGTTCCCTCTTTATTGAATTTGTTTCTGAGCTATAGCAGATCTGTATCTTGCCTTGAATGTAATAAAAAAAAATAAAAATTACAGAATCGTAGAATCACTTAGGTTGGAAAAGACTCTTAAGATCGAGTCGAGCCGTAAACCTAACACTGCCAACTCCACCACTAAACCATGCTCCTAAGCACCATATCTACACATCTTTTAAATGCCTCCAAGGATGGTGACTCTGCCACTTCCTTGGGCAGCCTGCTCCAGTGCTTGATAACCCCTTTGGTGAAGAAATTTTTCCTAATATCCAATCTAAACCTCCCCTGCTGCAACTTGAGGTAATTTCCTCTGGTCGTATCACTTGTTACTTGGGAAAAGAGGCTGACACCCACCTCACTACAACCTCCTTTCAGGTAGTTGCAGAGAGCCATAAGGTCTCCCCTGTGCCTCCTTTTCTCCGGGCTAAACAACTCCCATTCCCTCAGCCCCTCCTCATAAGACTTGTCCTCCTTTGTTGCTTTTCTCTGGACATGCTCCAGCACATCAATGTCTTTCTTCTTGTGAGGGCCCAAAAATGAACATGGTATTTAAGGTATGGTCTCACCAGTGCTGAGTACAGGGGAATGACCACTTCCCAAGTCCTGCTGGTCACAACATTTCTGATACAAGCCAGGATGCTGTTGGCCTTCTTGGCCACTTGTGCACACTGCTGCCTCATATTCAACCAGCTGTCAACCAGCACCCCCAGGTCTTTTTCTGCCAGGCAGCTTTCCAACCACTCATCCCGAAGCCTGTAGCATTGCATGGGGTTGTTGTGACCCAAGGGTAGGACCCAGCACTTGGCCTTGTTATATCTCATACAATTGACCTTGGTCCATCGATCCAGCCTGTCCAGGTCCCTCTGTAGAGTCATCCTACACTCGAGGATGTCGAGAAGACACTCCTGCCCCACTTGGTGTCATCTGCAAACTACTGAAGGTACACTCTATGCCTTTGTCCAAATCATTGATAAAGATATTAAACAGAACTGGCCCCAAAATTGAGCCCTGGATGTCACATTTGGTAACTTCCAGTCAACTGGGACCCCCCTGTTTAGCCAAGACTGCTGATAAATGATTGAAGTGGCTTGGTGAACACTTCTGCCAGCTCCCTCAGTACCCTTGGGTGGGTCCCATCTGACCCCATAGACTTGTGTGTATCTAAGTGGTGTAGCAGGTCACTAACCATTTCCCCTTGGATTATGGGGGCTTCATTCCACTCCCATTCCTGTCTTCCAGCTCGGGGGGCTGAGTACCTGGAAAACAACTGGTCTTAGTGTTAAAGACTGAGGCAAAGAAGACATTGAGTACCCAGCCTTTTCCTCATCCTTTGTCACTGTAATTCCCCCAGATCCAATAAAGCATGGAGGTTCTCTGTAGCTCCGCTTTTGTTGCTTATGTATATATATAAACATTTTTATTATCTTTTACGGTAGTAGCCATATTAAGTTCTAGCTGGGCTTTTGCTGTTCTAATTTTCTCCCTGCATAGCCTCATGACATCTTTGTAGTCCACCTGAGTGAGTTGCCTGCCCCTTCTTCCAAAGTTCATGAACTCCCCTGTTTTTCCTGAGCTCCAGACAAAGCTCTCTGTTCAGACAGGCCAGTCTTCTTCCCTGCTGGCTCATCTTTTGGGAATGGCCTGCTCCTGTGCCTATAATATTTCTTTCTTGAGGAGTGTCCAGCCTTCTTGGACCCCTTTGCCCTTCAGGACCACATCCCAAGGGACACTGTCAACCAGGCCCCTAAACAGGCCAAAATCTGCCATCCAGAGGTCCAAGGTGGCAGTTGTGCTGAGCCCCCTCCTTGATTCTCCAAGAATTGAAAGCTCTATCATTTCATGGTTGCTGTGCACATGATGGCCTCTAGCTATTGCATCACCCCCAAGTCTTTATTTGCAAACAACAGGTTCAGTGGAATGCCTTCCCTGGTTGGCTGGCTCACCAACTTGTGTCAGGAAGTTATCTTCCATGCACTTTGCTCTATCTGCCTGTGACCATGGGCAGGCCACCCAAAGAACTTAAAAGTGTACACATGTGAGAGAAAGTGTCATGGCCTGTGAATGGTTTACTCCTGCTCTGTCGTCCTGTGAGAGGAATCTGCTCCCTTGGTACTGGCCTTTGTGCTTGTAGACATGGCGGTGCTCGTAGTGGCTTCATGAGAGTGATGCGGGGTTGATGGTGTCTATCCCTGTGGTGGGATGGAGCCTTTCCATAGGAGGGCCTCTGCTCTAGCTGTGCTTGTTCCCTGTGCAGAGGGCTCACCATTTTGAGACCATGATGTCCACCTCTCTAGGGGTCACCCTGTGGCAATGCTGTCAGGCTCCATGGGTTTTGTTTGCCCCAAATTCATCTGGTGCAACCCCCCTGCCAAGCACTGCCACCTAGAGCAGGCTGCCCAGGACCGTGTCTGAATCGCTTTCAAAGGTTGGAGACTTCACAGCCTCCCTGGGCAGCCTTTGTTGAGTGTTAGAGCACTCTCAGAGGCAGGACTTGCTTTCTTGTGTTCAGACAGAATTTCATGTTTTTTTCATTTGTGCCCATTGATTCTTGTTCTGTCAGTGGTCCCTACTGAGAAAGGTCTGGTTCCCTTGACCTCGTTCTCTCCCATCCGACATACACACACAGAGGTGTCTTCCCCTTAAAATGAATGCAGAGCAGAAAACTGGAAAATAAAGGAAGAAGGGATTGCAGAAGCACTGTTTTGGCACTACTTACTTACCTCAAAATCCTGCCCGAGTGCTTGTGCATCTGAGTGGGTAGCAACCTGCTGCCTACCCATGTTCCCCAACAAAATGTTGCACAGACACTCACAGACAGAGGGTTGGTTAAAACAAGCTAATTTATTGTAATCTTTGCATGCATAAAGGTTGCAGAAGGGATCAGCTCTTTCCGACAGGACAGGTGGTCCCATCCTGCTACAGGTGGTAACAGGAACCTCAGTTGCAACAGCATCTTCAGCTGGACCAGCAGAGATTCCCCAAGCTCCTCTGGAGTGGTGCCATCTCCATGCCTAGTTTGCTCAGATCTGTGGCACAGGCTCCCCAGGCAGTCTTTGGGATGAGCAGATTCTCTGTCCCAGTGCCTGAAATTGTTCCTCGGGCCCCACCAGTGTGAGAGGAAAGTAGGACCTCATGGTCAGAGGCCTGGGTGGAGAAGTCTGTGACCACCTGGGTATGGGTGCAGAGCTGCAGAGCTCTGAGGTGCCAGTTGTCCCACTGGGCGTGCCTCGCCGTGAGTCTGAGAAGTGGCATTTCAACCACAGCACAGATCTGCAGCCACGGTGTGCTGCTGGTAAAGCTAGTCTCTGCCTACTCAAGTCTCAGCTAAGAGCCCGAGCTGTCCTGCTGTACTGCAAAAACCATCTCAGTGTAGGTGTTCATCCAGGAGGTGCTGGTCAGCTGGAACCTGCAGGACTGGGAGGAGGGCAGCACCGTTAGCTGGCAGTGGTGTGAGTGAGGCAAAAACTGCCAGGCAGATCCCACCAACTGTTGGACCCAGTGGGCCGTTTTCTCCAGATCTAAGCAGAAGCATGTGCAGAGGGTGCGTAGGAAGTAGGACCTCTGATCCGCCGGCACCTTGTCATCGAGTTTATGGAGAAAGCAGAAACTGTCCCCCAGCTGCTGCTCCCTCGAGCACATGCACTCCAGCACCACATGGATGCTGGAGGGCCTCTCTGGCAGCTGCCCTGTGGAGTCCAGCTCCAGGCTGAAAGAGTGCCCAGGGGGTGGCTGCAGCAACACGAGCAGGCGGTAGGTGATGCTGTTATCATGGACTCTCCAGTCTTCATAGGTGCTGTCCATCCCAAAGGCCGGCTGTATCTGTGGCATGAAATCATTCTTGGAGAGCAGCTGGCAGACACGAAGGATGTCACCCACCACCTCCTTCAGCACCTTGCACATGCCGGGCAGGCCCTCCATTGACGATGGGGTGGAGGCAGCCAAAGACTTGACATCACTGTAGGAACTATTGAGGTCTTCCTCCTCATTCTCATCGTCCTTTCTGCTGGAGCTGTCCTGCTCACTGTAGGTGTCAAAGGCGTGCTTCGTTTCGCGGGACAGTGTGAAGAACAGAGCAAACAGGACCGGGACTGCTGCAAAGATCCAAAATGGCCACCACGTCAACACAGAAAGAAGCTTGCCTTTCTGTTCGATCTCTTCAACCTCCCGCAGCAGCCGAGTCATCTGCTGATGCAGATACTCCTCACGCTTCTGCATCCGCTGGGCTGTGACTGCATCTGTCTGCAGATCATGCTTCAGCGCATACTTGATGGCCAGCACAGCCAGGACGAGGGGGATTGCCACAGCCATAGCCTGGAAGAGGTAGGAGAAAAGGGGGCTGAGCAGGGCAGGGTGGGAGGGAGCACAGGGCTGGGGGAGGGGGACAGGAGCTGCCTGGAGCTCGGGTTGGCTGAGGAGGGGGTGAGGGAGGTGAGAGGGAGCAAGAGCAGGGTTTGTGAGCACTGCATGGATGGGAGCCACAGGCTATCCCAGGAAAACGTCTGAGCACTGGTGTCAACAGGCTTGAAGGGGCCGCAGGCCCTGGCTGGAGACAGTGTGGGGCCCATCCTGCCCAAGCTGCTGTGATGGCCAGCCCCTGGCTGGGCTGTGCCCTGTGAAAGGGCAAGGGACACCCAAGTAGAGTCTCCTGAGGCCCCATCCCTGCCACATAACAGTGTCTCCTGGAGCCGCGGTGGCACCTCCCCAAAGCTTCTCTGGGCCCCTGCCACCCCTAGGAGCCTTGAGCACCTCTGCCCCCAGCTGCAAGGGCTGTACAGTGCCCTGCCCTGAGGGGCTTGGCCCTTGCTCTGGGTTAGAAACCCCCTGGCCATCTGCCCCGTCCCCCATCCAGCCCAGCCTTCCCCCTGCATGCTGCACTCACCAGTCATCCAAGTCAAACTGTAGTGTGGCTGCCTGGTGATGTCCCTTGGAACAGCTCCCCTTGTGACCTGCCCCTGTGATGTCACAGCCACCAGAGCCATATGACCGAGCCAGCAAGCCCCACCCTTTGTCTCCACTGCCTGGCTCAGTGGGTCCTGGGCATCACACCACATACAATCCTAAACAGCAGGAGCGAGCTTGACAAAATGGGAGACACCTGCCAAAATTATAACTGAAATGAAAATGGGGGCTGTAGGTGGATGTCCCTGATTACATAGAGAGGTGCAAGGTTTTCTGGGCCAGGTGTTTTTTTCTGTCAGTTCAGCATGTGCTGCACTATGCTTCTGATGCACCTCTTGTCCAAAGCCTTCTGGAGGCAAAAAGAGATGTCTCTCTTGGGAAGGTGGTGGGGATCTGAGGTCCCAAGTGGGAGGAAGGTAGAATCATGGAATCATTTAGGTTGGAAATGACCTTTAAGATCATTGAGTTCAACTGTAGACTTTACACTGCTAAGTCCACCGCTAAACCATGTTCCTACGCACAGCCGTTGCACATCGTTTAAACACCTCTGGGGATGGTCATTCTGCCACTGCTCTGGGCAGCCTGTTCCACTGCATGACGACCCTTTTGGTAAAAAAATTTTTCCTAATATAATGCAATATTACTTATTTTTTTGTTCTTATGTTCTACTATTTGTAAAAGAAATGTAGGCTCTTTTTCAGGATTTCGTCATGTAATTGAGAATTTTAATTTTCTTTATATAGATTTAAATGATAATCAGGTGAATACCAGGTCAATACCATGCTCAATAGACAGGGCTTATGATTTCATTAATATTTATAAGTTAATACTGTGCTCAGTAAGAAATGCCTTCATAATTGGACTGTAGGAAGATTAAGTAACTAAATATAAAAGGTTAATTTTAGAAACTAACTGTCAAGCTAAGGGAGCAGTGTTGTCAGCTGTGGTACTTGCCATTCTGTTAAAGATGGTGTGAAACAACTGTTTCAGGACTATTCTGGGGGAAGGGATGAAGCCACTTCCAGGGTTCAGGTTAGGTGAGAACAGAGAGAACAGTTTATTGTAGACAAGTTCTTATACATGTGATATTTTTGTATTACACTATCTTAAAAGCAACAAGTTCAATAATATAATTAGAACTTAGCAACTTTAGGAAGTTAAAAAGATAATTTTAGGTAATCTCATGTTCTGTGTTTTCTGTAGCATCAGAACCTTTTATGATTTCTCAGTGGAAGAAGACAAAAGCAAGCAAAATTTTTCCTCTAAACACTTAAAAGCACCATAAAATATTTCTGCTTGTCTTTCCTTGCATAAAGAATGCTTATGTTTTCCAGTCACAGACAGCTGCACAGGTGTTAAAAACACTTTCTCTTGAAACATTGCATACCCAGAGGAGAGGGTACGAGAGCAAACATCACCTGACTTGACAGAGGATCTAGAAACACACTGTAGGAAGGTGTTTCAGATACTTTAGTGGTGAGGATAGATTATGACTTTTCTAGATTAGAGGAGTAGTGCTTTCTCCCTCATTTCCCCCGTTCTTTCTGGCTGTGGCTCTAGCTTGCTTTCTTGTCCTTTACAGTAGTGCTACAGGGTACTAAGCAATTGAACAGGGTGAAATTATCAGCCCTTATCAGAGCAGTTAAAATCTACTGGCAACATATTTCTTCAGTCTTGCCTTGATTGATGAGATAGTCTGTGTATCTCTGATTGTAATTTGCACAGAACAACAAACTCGGAGCTCAAAATGGCTTGCTCATGCTGATCCACAACTATAATTGGAGCAAATAGATGACATGTTTCAAATCCCCCAAAGAGGGTTTTATTAAAGGGTGTGTCTAGCTTCAAGTATGTAGAGTCAGTATAAGAAAGGATAGCAAGTGCACTCGCTAAATCCTTTATTGTACTTAAGTTCTGCAGTATCTTTGATTGTTTAACTTGCTGGCTTAGTCAGAAGAAACGGTAGTTCGAAGGGATATTCACATTATGTAGTCCAACCTCCCACAAGAAGCATGCAGAAGCTTTTCCTGTAAAGATCAGGATAAAAAAGACATTGAGTCTTTCTCTTGTCGTCTGTCGCTGGGTTCTCTCCCCCATCTGTCACACAGATATTTTCTGAGCTTCCTTTTACAGCTATCATACCCATGGCTTTCCTACTTGTTACCTGAAATGTCCCTCTAGGTATGTCTTCAGGTGAGCTCTGGCCTCTCTGATTTTGTCCCCAGGTTCATGAACACACTCTTCCTTTTTTGCCTGTCCTTATTTTCATCCCCATCCCACCCTTTGTTTGGTTTTTTTTTTAATTTTAGCTTATCAAAAAGCTGCTTCCTAAGCCAAGTATGCCTTCTGCCAAAACTCCTAGCCTTCCTGCACAAGGGCTTCCATCCTTCCGGAATTCTGAGTAAAAATCAGGGAGCTGTACTGTATCCTGGGATCTCTTCCTGTGTGTGCCTGTTCCTCTGGGGTCTTACCCTTCTGTTCACTGGAATAAACTTAAATCTGTGATTCTAAAGTCATCCCCACTGCTGTTTACATTGCAGCCTTTGTCTGTGTCCTCAGTTCAGTCATTCTGAGGTCAAAGAATCACAGAATCACAGAATATTAGG